GTGTGTGTTTACTTTTTCTTTGTCGCACCCTTTCTCTTTGCGCCTCTCTCTCTCTCTCTCTCTCTCTCTCTCTCTCTCTCTCTCTCTCTCTCTCTCTCTGTGCGCAGAAACTGGTGCCAAACACCCTGCGCGCGCCCTTGAGCTGCGCTGCCGGATTACGCACATCACAACCAAACATTTGCGCACGCCAAATGAGTTACAAAGCAAGAAAATACCACTTTTTTATGACAAGTATCGATTGTGTTGTGTGTGTATTGACTGGTTCATAATCTGAGTTCACCGTCTGTGCGCAGAAACTGGTGCCAAACACCCTGCGCGCGCCCTTGAGCTGCGCTGCCGGATTACGCACATCACAACCAAACATTTGCGCACGCCAAATGAGTTACAAAGCAAGAAAATACCACTTTTTTATGACAAGTATCGATTGTGTTGTGTGTGTATTGACTGGTTCATAATCTGAGTTCACCGTGTGCGTAACTATTTAGTCTATTTTAGTACAAGATCGTCCCCAAAACACTTCTGATTTGCTTTCCTCTATGACATGAATATTACAGCTTGTATTAGCCTACAATAAAATGCAACATGAAAAACTCTTTCGCGTTTCAGAATTAATTTCCTATCCAGTTTCTCCCTCTAGTGGCTTCAATGAAGTCATATTTTGAGAATTATAGTTCTGTTTTTTAATATATAAACCACCTTATTGTCCATAGCACCTTCCGGTTTTACAACTCTCTGCATTCTACTCAAATTCATATTACTGTGTGTTACCCTAAATATAAGCAATTCTGTAATTCCGTGTGTTGCCCATAGACTGTAAAAAATAGCCTGTAATACCAACGCTCTGCCGTTGGTGGCAGCACTGCGGCGCGTGAGTGACTGATACACACAGCGCGTGACGTCGAGGAAGAGCGTCCAGCGCGTAAAGTGTACAAAAACACACAGTTTACATTTTAGTCAATTAAAGAGAACCATGTCGGAAAGAAAGGTTTTGAATGTAAGTACCTCCTTCTTTAATGTTATGTTGTTGTTGTGTTACGGCTTAAGGTGGATTGGAGGAGTAATATCTAAGATATCACCGTGCTAATGAAGGAACGTTAGCATAGCAATGCAGCGTATAGCCTACTTTTATTAAATACAAGTCAGATCGGTTCCTTTTTCGTGTTAAGTAATGTTTTCGAAGCCCATAATGTACATGTATGTTGGAATAATCTTGAATACACATGCTAAGATGAACTTTGAAATAAGTTTCTGTTTACAAAGTTCATTTCTGTGATAAACTGTCTCTTGTTTTTCCTCAGAAATACTATCCTCCGGATTTCGATCCGTCTAAAATCCCTAAACTCAAACTGCCCAAAGACCGTCAGTATGTCGTTAGATTGATGGCACCATTTAATATGAGGTGAGTTTATATACGTGTTTTGAATTAGTAATACTCTGTGGTATTATTGCAGGTTTCAAATAAAAACATGGTTTTAGAAATTAATAATAAGCATTAATATTAAACTATTTTGTACAGATCTATATCTATACAGGATAAAATAACAACAAATTTGTGTGTGTGTGTGTGTGTGTGTGCGATCAGAAATCTGAAAACTGACAACAATTACTGGTTATGATGCACTTAATTAGTAAAATCCGTCAAAAGATTTTAGTCTGTTTTGAAAGATATCTCCTTAATGACTAAAAATGCTCTGAGAAAATAAGAAAATAATTATATATTTATATATATATATATATATATATATATATATATATATATATATATATATATATGGGGGAAATAATGTTCCATCATCATTCAGTATAAAAAAAATATGTATTTATATATGATGGTCATTGTTTTTTGTTTTGATGCTTGAAAACCATCTTTTGTCTTTGAACCATATATCACTGTAAAAACAAGATATATTGAATGTGAACGTATTCGTTGTGAGGAAAACATCTGTATTTTGACTGATGAGAGATTGTCACCTTTCAAAATAATAATGCTTGTTGTTACACAGGTGTAAAACGTGTGGAGAATACATTTACAAAGGGAAGAAGTTTAATGCCCGTAAAGAGACCGTTCAGAACGAACTGTACCTGGGGCTTCTCATTTTCAGATTCTACATTAAATGCACCAGATGTTTGGCTGAGATCACCTTCAAGGTACTAGAATAAACATCATACTCTTTAAAACCGACAGACAAACACTTAAGGTGTTTTTATTCTTGTCCATGTGTGTTTGTTTGGTTGCATCTCATCTAATTGCTGTGTTTCACAGACAGATCCAGTGAACACCGATTACGTCATGGAACATGGTGCAACACGCAATTTTCAGGCCGAGAAACTGATCGAAGAGGAGGAGAAAAAAATCCAGCAGGATCGAGAAGAAGAGGAACTCAATAACCCCATGAAGGTCTGATAGAAGCTTTAGACTACTTGTGTATTTTATTATTAGCGGCTTTGTTAGGAATTTATTACTTTATTCTGTTCTATTTGTGTTTAATTTGTCTTTTTTTTTTCCACTTTCCAGAAATGTTTAGTGTAAAATAAGCATTATTTCATTTTTTATAACTGTTTTCAACATTTTACATTGATAAAAGCATCTTTGTAAGGGAGCAAACAAAAGCGCATACAAACTTAAAACGTAACGTCCCTGAATGCTGTCACAGGTCCTGGAGAACCGCACACGAGACTCAAAGTTGGAGATGGAGGTGCTGGAGAACCTGCAGGAGCTGAAGGAGCTGAACCAGAGGCAGGCGCAGGTGGACTTTGAGGGCATGCTGGACCAGTATAAAGAGATGGAGCGGAGACAGAGAGAGAGAGAGCTGGAGGAAGACGAACGAGAGACCAAGTAAGAAACCTTTGAACTTTTTGCTTCATACACTGTATGTTGGAATATTTGAGCTTTTTAAAAATGCATTTGTCACACTACAGATTCATTTAAGCGCACAAAAAGGTTATTTAAAATGGGAGAAAAACTTAAATGACAAGGATTACAGTGGGGCTGCATGATTAATCAATATAAAAACGAAATTGCGATATGGCTTAGTGCAACTTCTGCTAAAAGTTTAATGGTTTAACATTTGAAAATGAAATTCTTGAGAATGAAAAATTAAGCAAGCCATAAATATTAGGGATGCACCATCGGTATCGGGCCCGATACTGAGCTTCTGTACTCGTACTCGTTAAAATGCCCCGATTCCAAATGCCGATACCACACAGCATGTGATCAGTGCCATATTCAGACAAAGAAACACCCACAACAGACAGCAGAATGGCGTTATAAGAGATTAAGGATGTCTACGAAGTATATGTATGCAATTAATATAATGTTAAACTTTCAGTATTAATGTCTGTATAGCTGATGTGCGCGAGCTGATAAACAAAGCACGCTGAGTGGATTGAGCGCGCGGCGGCGCAGATGCGCGAGCTTGTCGAGTGAATATACCTTTCTCACAGACATCACTGGAAAGTTTGTAGTTCGGTCGGATATGTCAAAAACAAGTAAGTAAAACAATGCACAAGTTACTTAACGATAGAGAGAGAGAGAGCACGCACTTCTGTTGTGTGATCTTTGATGTTCAGTCACTTAGCACACGCATCATTTGGATTAAAACTAAATCGTAAAAATAAGACCATTTCTAGGGGCATTCACTATAAACATCATTTACTTTCAACCTTAGGCATACACGACTTTCTGGCGAA